GTGTGTGTGTGTGTGTGTGTGTGTACGCGTGCGTGCATGTGTGCGTGGTCACGGTGTACGAATGGTCGGGAAGTTTGTTTGCTCGCCTTAATCTCGAGCCACCAAACCCTGCAGGATTGACCCAGTTCAGTAGACGCGGCAGCCAGCAGCTTGCTGGCTCGGCCAGTCCCACTGTCTGTCAGTCAACGGCGGTGTCAGGAAGCCCATGTCATGTAGCCCCCGCCGACCAACATTTTTACCAGGATTGACAGTTTTCGTCAGGTGTGTGCATAAATGGCAAGCATTGCATGGTGCAAATTTACATGGTACTATATACATATTTACATGTAGCTGCTGATACTATGTACATATCGCGACCTCAGTGCTTTCTTGTCGTATCTCCATTTTTAATAACAGTAAAAACAGTTCATAACAGAGTGAGCTTAAGAAGTCACATTTTCACTGTTTCGAAAAATGGAAATACGACAAGAAAGCACTGAGGTCGCGATATAATGTAGGTTATGACTGACATTGGTTCAAATTTACATTATACTATCAATCATGTACTGCACGTGTAAGTACTGATATTATGTACATGTGGCTACCGACCAACATTTTTACCGGGACTGACAGTTTTTCCTCGTCAGGCCTGTGCAGAAATGACAGGCATTGGTGCACCTTTTAATGACTCTCTCCCAGAAATAGGAACATTTTTTTCTTTCCTATTCTTTTTCTTTTTACTTTATATTATTTTCTTACTTTTAATCATTTTTTCTTTAGATTGTACATGTAGCTCCCGAACATTTTTGTCCGGGACCTACAGTTTTCCTAAGCTGTGTGCAGAAATGGGGAAAAAAATGCAAAATTGTTTAGAGGTTTATTGCACCGTTCAATGCTGTAATGTGCACAAATGGCAGGTTTTAACGTACTATTTTGTGCATAATATATGATTTTAAAAAATTGAAGTTGGAACTTTTTGTTACTTTATTTTAGATTCTACATGTACCACATTGTTTTTTCCTTTATGACTAAATGACGCACAGGATTAACCCAAGTACATGGCACTTTCCTCCCCCAC